TGTGTCCTTACACATATCTAAAAATATTGGCAACGATAGTACTGGTAAGTACATGTACATGTAGTCTGGTGGCAAAATGTTGAAGAGATGTGAATTTAAAAAAAAAAGACAGACTGTGTACCACGCATTGATTTTTTTCTGCTAAGGGTATTACCAGTCTGTCAGCGTGGCCCACACTCCACAAGTGCACATTTAAAAGTATGCCTACATGTGTACAACCTCAAATTCCCCCCCCCCATCAAGTGACCATGTGGCAACTACATGTACATGTGTGTTCATATACAAATGTACATTTAGCTTGGGCAGTATTTCGGTATTACCAAATACTGCGGTTCTGTTTTAATACTGAAAAATACCGACTAACAATCCACGAATACTGGAATACCGGATAATTCAGTATTGAATTTCAATACCACGGTATTCGGGCTAATCTGTTCAGAATGTTCCCACAACCCTGGTAAGATGAAAGCAGACAATTATTTCCACAACCAGTGACTCTATACTTTGTGGTTTCGATCACCCAGCATCTGTTCGTATTGTCTCTTTTGGTAAGGAGATAAGACGTAATGTGATACTTCAGCATGCAGCCATCAACCCGCCTGTCACAAGGTTTTGTTTTCCTATCACCGGCGTCGAGTTTGCGGATTTGGAATAGCTTGTAGGCCGTGCTTACTGTATTGCTCACTGGCACATACATGTATCACAGCCCTACAGCTTGGGAACTAAAAATCAGTTGATCTTCCGTGTCCGCACTGGACTTTATTTTCCGAAGACTTTTATTAGTGGATCAGAAAATGCAAATACTCCTTATGCTAGCCTTGGGTTCTCTTTGGGTCTTTTTTGTCCTTTGTATACAACGTCATCAAAATCCGAATTTTAAAATTTAAATTTTAAATTTGTGGGTTATTTTTCAAAATCTTACACCTTTTCCAAAAAATCTATGTTGACCACCAGTGTATTTTTTAATATTTTAAGTATTGTATAAATGTTTTTCTTTTTTGTGAGGACCCCAATGGAAATAAGCTGTTTATTACAGCTTTCTTGGGCTATCCTTGGCTTCTGTCTTTTACTATTCTTAGTCTGTTTGTGATTTTGTATTGTGACTGTCATTATAAATTGTCTTTTTGCCAGAATAAATAAATTTACAAGTAGAGTGTGAAAATCTACCGAACAGGAATGTGTGTTTTAAACTATAAAATGATACCATAAATCTGCATCTATTCAACATCCACAACAATCAAAGATCATTTCTTATTGTTCCCGCATTCATTCCAACCACAAAAACCTGATTCCTCACATCTCACTGTCTGTATTTCAGTTTGTCTGGAATAAATTGAGGACAACATGGTTGATAAAAGAGATCTCCTGGTTATGATTAATTAAACACCTTGTGCTGTGTTTAGAATAAACTTCACTGTCACAGGATATGTTTAATGTAATTGTGAAATAAAATAAAAAATATATGTGAAGGCACCGATCCAGGGATTTTTAAAAGACTTTCAATCGCATTGGATGACGACGAAGCTAACAGTAATTAACCTGCATGCACATGCAGGCATGTATGTACCTGAAAGAATGTGAAGGCTCATCAACTAAAGCCCCCATCCATGGAAGTAGTCTTTCCAACACAAGTTTAATTTTTCATCTGACTTTTGATTTTTGACACTAACTGCAAGACACGACTGATCGTTAATCTGTATTCAATCGCACGCTGCAGCGCGGCCCCCCGTGCAGGAGATGGTTGCTGAAGAAGCATGATGTCATGAACGAATATTGCAACTGGATAGCTGTGTCTTGCCAAATGTACATGTACGTCATGAAAACACATAGTCTCATTGGCTAGACCTTTTGCAGCAACATGAATAATTCAGTGTTGGGCGATTAGTTGGACTCTTGTAATGCGAGAATAGTCAAGCGAACTTATTTCGGGCATATTTTTATCGGAAATGGGGTGGGATTTTTTGTTTTGGCATTTGTGTAATCAATAAAAAATATCATTGATTTTTTAATCGTGCACTATGCCTGTCATGACAACAGAAAACTGACAAACAATGTCTGTATCGCGTTGTAAGTATGTGTGACGCATATGGGGGGCGACAAGCCTCATGTTGCGGCTGGAAATTTTGTGGAAACACGCTCACTCGAGTACAAGCAATACAATCTCAAATGAAATTCAACACTGAACACAGAAAACACAAACACAGACATGAGATCAATTTTTTGTGAATGAACCTGCCGAAAAATTTGTGATGGCAGTGATTTTTTACTTTCACTTGCAACTATAGAGTTGCATTCGACTAGTGGAACGTACAACCTTTTCAAGTAGGCAGAAACTGTACATTGACAGGTTGCCGCATTTCCATCAGCCTTCATTGGCAATGGTTCAGCCTGGCGGGAACCAGTGTGGTGCACTGCGCATGTGTTTTCACCACCACGATTCACAAATGCAAATGCTGGTACCACTGTGCCAGGAATTTCATATACATGTATTGTGATTTTGCTGTAACAGATTTTCTTTTCATAGAAATGTGCATATTTTTGCCGGGACCACAGATTTGTTTTTATTATAATCAGAATTTGTTACAACCAATTTCGTAAAAACGAGAGTCGACTGCCGCTCCGCAGAGTTTTCTGGAAGCCACCTTACTATTGCACATGCACAGTATTAGGGCACAGCTAAGAGGAGCAGCAACTGGTGACCGGCAAGTAATCATTACATCAACACACTGTCTCAGCGAGTACCAACTTGACTGTAGTACATACATGTACATGTACACGTGCAGATTTTCATTTTCGAGTAACCACACAGATAGGAATCACGGAGCAACAAATCGGTATTTAAAACACTGTTCATTTTTAAAAATTCTTTCACAAAAATAATATTTATTTGACATCAAATGGACAGATAAATTATAATACTTATTAAGTTTAGAGGTTTTGTGACTTTAAAATCCCTGTATGCTGGCCCCTAGTTTTGTTTGTGTTTTGCCACTGAATGTCAGCATTGCCGCTGCTTTTTGATGCCTTCTGCAACGAATACCACGGTATTAGTAAATGCCGCAGTATTTTTTTCACAAATACCGCGGTATCGAAAAAGGCAATACCACCCAAGTCTAATGTACATGTGGTTATGTGAGAAGATTTGGAATCACGGCATGCTACATTTAGGCATGTGCTGCACTAAACCCACAATGTGGCAGTGCAATGTACAGTACACCATACATGTACTTCCACTGCATGCTTCAAATTTCAAGATTTGGCGAAACAGGCAATACCCATTTTTAAAACAGGAAATTATTGGCTCTGATGGGAAATACACCATCATACTCAGATTGTGGTCTTGCATCCAGTAATTGATATTTTTAAAATTTAAAGTTCTCAAGTAGGGCCCTACCGTGTGACGGTGTGTGGGATTTGCCAACTTGTCATGCTTGTACGCTTACAGTACATCTGTCATTTCTAAGAAATTTGAAAGAAATCGGAAACCATACCAAACAGAAGGTTCCTCTGAGGTTTATCAGTGCTTCTGAAAGATTATTTTCACACATTACACTTGAAACAATAATAGCCCTATACTATATAGTTGTATTTTATACCAATTCATTCCATTTTGTGCCTGCTCATTCAGATGACTATTGTGGTGTTTACCAGGTACAGTACAAGTACCAGTCTTTGCGTACTGGTGCCTCAGAAGCCTCCTACCAATTTGTCAAAATAGAGTACATGTTTTTGTTTAGGTACATGTACATGTGTAAATGTATGTTCTGTCCTTTACATTATATGCTCTGTCTTCAATTTTCCAACAATTTGCTCATCCATACTCCCCCCATCCCTAAAAAATATAGAAATGAAGAGAAAAGAAAAGAAACAAATATAGTTGGAAAATACATTATATCCAGCTTTTTATAGATAAGTTATAAATCATTTCTTTTTAGTGAAAAATTCCAAAAACTTCCCACAATAAATACGGAATCCCCCCTTGAGTCAAAAACTTGGTACAATTAATCAACGGACAATCAATTCTTTCTCTCCCCTTGTGTATAAAACCAGATTAGGCCTATATATAAATGCATGTACAGTGAAGTCAGAATAGATCTTGCATGCAACAGTCGTTGATCACAGTGTGTTATAATGTTGGACATCAACTCGACAGGTGCCGCAGACGTACATGTATAATTCACGTTGTCACAGTATTGCTTAGTAATAAGTTGCGCGCGCATTTTGCTAGTGTACAGTAAGCCCATAGCATGTGTGTGGAGCATGATACAAAAACATACATATTAATGTTATTCAAATTTAATTTCACCGGTTCCTTATTTGTCTGTCACACAAAGTGTGACGGGGAACCAGTTTTGCATGGTACAATCTATACCAGAGCGCCAGTAGGGTGCCTTGAAATCCGATGCAAGAAGCGCTGCTTTCATTTTTAAAATGGCACCGCCCATGGTCAGCCTATAAATATTACAGGCCCGGTTTTCAAGGCGCCATATATCGGAAAATATGGTTTGGGAAAGCTTTAGGGTGCTCATATAAAAGTCCAAACTCTGAGGAATACGCCGGTATGCGGTGTCATTAAAATTGTTGAGTCATTCTCATTTCGGAAGATATTAGGATTTAAAGTTTGTAACAATCCTGCAGTTTGGATTTCAGGCATTTAAGACATGCCTTGAAGTACGTGTAGGGCTGTGGTGGAGACAGAAAAGAGACAGATTGTACTAAAGCGAGCCACTACAGCCCTACTTGTGGGGCTAGGGTCCGAGTTGACCTGATCCCTCCAGGTCTATGCTTAATAAATATACTCCTGTACCGTGTACAAGGTGGTACAGGTACACTGCCAGTGCCAACTCCAAGTGTTTCAAAGTGCCTCAGTGCAACACAGGCCAACTTAAATTACGACTCTTTCTTTAATAGGCCAGACTGACAGAATAACCTAGGCCTAACTGCTTCGGGGTTCATTACCATTACTAAGCAGTAGCACCCTGTTCCAAAGGCCACTTGCTCAAACTAACTAATATTTTGACAGGCCTACTTTAGGTGAATTTTGACAATATGTAAGCAAAAACTTCAAATTTCTTACCCGAGTTTAGTATGACACAATGACTCAGTCGAATCACGCCGTTTTGTGTTTCGTCTGGTTACCTGACTCCGGAATTTTGGATTCATCAAAACAAATCTCCATCCAGGTCAGGGAACCAAACTACGTTCTCTTATTAAATTTGTCGTTCACAGCTCTTCACTTCAGGCATGTCAGGGGCGGTCATGTACGCTGCAGTGTTACCCAAAAATCTCCCTCAAAACCAAAAGCCCTGGTCTCTTTCCTTTCTGACATGAAAGAGGACATCCCCAACAACTTATTCGAAAAGTAGAATTTGTTCCCTTATTTATAATAGGAACAGGGTGCTAAAGGTAATGAACCCCACTGCTTCTCGGTCATTGTCGCCTAAAAACGTTACATTACAGGTTTCTTCAGGCAGTCGGGCTTCCAAGCTACATGCCTTGCGCGCTTTTAAGGAATCCTCGGTGTCTTTTGGCCTAAATACTTACAGTACTGCAAGTCACTCTCCTAGTTTTTCCAGGTACACCGGCTGTAGGTACTACATGTAGGTCTAGCTAGGTTGCCGCAAGGTCCTTGCTTCATCTGCAGCCCAAAGATCGTATAGCGCCGAAGCGCAAGATAGATAAACTCTGTCCAAAAGATGTAATTACCATAGGCGCCATTTGAGCAAGCAATACGCCTGCGCAGTTTACAGTAATGCTTAGGGCAAGGGAAATTCTTCGGCAGGCCGAGGCGCTCAAAAAGTGCCCCCCCCCCACAGTTTATTTGGAAAAGAGAAGATTGTGTGGCCCAAGAATTTGTGGGATTGTGAAAGAATGGCCCAGAATGAACTCCCTAGATTCAAGAGCTCCCATCCCAGGGTGAAGCATAGAAAAATGCCACTGAAAAAATGTCGCAAGAGCCTGAAAAGGTGCAGGGATGTCCTTTGAAAAATGGCCGCTGACAGACTTGGGAACGTTCACTTTTTGGAAGGTGAGTATGTTTTGGGTGGATAATTAAAGATTTCATTGGTTAACCTACTAAAAATTGAAAATAAATTGAGAGCTGAATGACCCCAGAACACTTTGTTTTTTGTTTGAGAGGCCTGAGGGACTTCGGTTGCCCGCACCGGGGCTGCAAACGTGGTCGATTTTACATAGTCTTCAATGGGGCTGCCCTTGGGCGCAAGCTCACCAGGCGCATATGGCTGCCGCGCTGCGCAGGCGTATCGCTTGCTCAAATGGCGCCCGTGTGATTACGACATTTTACGTGTATTCACGGTGAATTCGGCGCTTCGCGGCGCTATACGATCTTTGCTGCAGCCCCCGGGATGCCGTTATGTGTAACGTATACTATATACGGCGTGTGTATCGACCTTACACAAAAAAGGAAAAAAATTACAAAATTCCGATTATCGTCCGAAATGGTCCATGTTGAACTGCTGTGTTCCATTGTATTTATCAAGCACTCAACGAACGCCAGAGCTGCGTTTTTAAACTTCGATGGGACCGCAAAGGCGACAGATTTTCGAGAGAATTAAGGTCCGATTTCAAAGCGAAGCCAACGGACCTCTGTAATGCACTGTCTACATTTTGTAGGCGGAGACAAAACTTACGATGTACCGGATCCAACGATTTTCCGGCGGACAAGTGAGTGGGGGAAGCGGTTGTTTCCCGGCAAAATGACCAACGAAGAAGCTGCCTTTCTCTTCAGACATGACTTGGGAACTTCATATGTGAAACTCTTTCTCATAATTTTTCTGGCACAACAGAGGAGAACTACCTAACTTCTTATGGAAATCTTTGCCTATTTTCCATTTCATCTGTGAACGCCGATGAACTTAACTTAGCAAGGTTACCATATATGCCAACCCAAGCATGCATGGGGCCTACCTGCATGCACTTGGGCATGTCGGGAGACAAGACTGCGGCTAAAAAAATCCTCAAATTTGAGTGAAATATGGTCAGAAGTCAACTTTGTGTATTGGATATACTTCAATTTTTTTTTCAAAATCTAAGCTTTTATATTTGGACTCACAGGACCGATCGACGAAAGTGACGATAACACCTTTCCTAGTTCTGGATCGGTTTAGGATCGAGACAAAAACGTCTTCACCAAAAAAAAAGTAACCATAGAAAAATCCATTTTCAGCCTGAGCCAAAACCATTGTAAAAAGTTGCTTTTCTAATAGAGAATTTTTTAATTTTGCGAAAATTAGATGAAAAATAAGAATTCCAATGAATTAAAAAGGTAGAAATTGCGTAAGGTTTGACTCGACTTTTCAGCTGTACAGTGAGCTATCAACGTTACCCTCCCCGCGCCGCACAGTTGACGAATCCATACGTCACATGCATTTCTGCTGCGCTAGCGCTGCGCCCGCGCTGCGCCCGTACAGTTGAGTTGGCAACGACTTCGCGTGGTAACGCCGCGCGATCCGAGAGTGGGGGGGGGGAGCTTGCAGTTTTTGCTAAATTAACAAAAACGGACACTCTAAAAAAGTCAGTTTGATTAAGCAGGCATTAGATGGTTTATATATTAGAAGGTTTATATGACTATTCAATTTAAAGAAATATTTGAAATCACACGTAGCGAGTGACTATCACCCGTGAATTTTAGTGGTTTTTTTTTGCTCTTTTCGCTCTGGGAAATTCCGAAACTAGGAAAACGGCTTGCGGTACAATGGGCGGAGTGGGTAACAAAATTAGCTGTCGATCTCCGAACTCAAGTTTCATGTATGACCGCGGGACCGGGTTTTCAGCGGCACGGTGGTTCTCCAGGACGTTTCTCCTTCAGTAAGAAATTTCACAGACATTTTATGCATGGATGTTTATTCCTAATTTATTTACTTTTTTACGGGTACCCAGAGCGGAAAAATGGAACAAGGTTTTGAAATCTACGGGCGGGTACCCGGCACAGGCCTACACAGCAGTTCACATGCCTGGACCATTTCTGATGATAATCGGGATTTTTTTCAACACGCCATATAGTACATGTATACGTTAAACATAACGTGTCACGTCGATGCGTTCCTGCAACATCCCCACCTTTCACCCACAATCCACCGCGGTAAACACTGCATTACGCCATTGTGTTGTAGGTCTATTATGCTACCGAGCCTTCCCATACAACTGGAACATTCGTCTCACTGTAATACCTTACAGCCTTTGACAGTAAAGTGAACATCTTGCTTTTTATAGAAACAGGAAACCTGAGCTTGCAACTGAGATATGTTTGTCTCACTTCCATAGGTTGAGTTGGTAACCAAAACAAGTTATTTTTACTCCAATGGACTATGGAGCATACTACCTCTCGCAACACCACCAGCAGCAAAACAGCCATTTTGGTCACAGCCTGCAGATTTATCAAGCCTGAAGGAAAAGGTGACTTCAAAATAAGTGAGAGAATCTCCTAACACAAAAATCAAATCAATAAATATTTAACCTGTTTAGAGCTACTCAGCCACCGTAATAATGACTGCTGAAACATGGCATCTACTCGAAAGGTTACTTTATTATGCTGTCAAACTATTCAACTATGAGTTAGCAGTACATTATTGCACCATACAACATGAAATTTCACTTTAAGGTAGGAGGTATTAGCTAGAAAAAGATGTTCTGAATTAAAAAGAGTCCATATTCATTGCTGTGCTTAAATTTTTTACCACTTGTTCGGTACAGTAACTCATACTTCCAAATGCTCTTTAGTTTAAAAAAAGAAAAAACACATGATGAAAGCCTTACAAGAAGCATAATTTACTGATCTCCATTAATGGTCGCACAATATAAATTTTAAAACCCAAGCAATATGTTTCAGTATACAAATAAGTCAAAATATTTACGATACTGAAGACGACTCCAACCCCCCTTGGGGAAAACACACTGAGAGAAACTTGTGTGATACATGTACATGTATCTAACGATTTTGTAATACATTAAGGAAAAATCAATATGAAAGTTTTAGAAGGCCATTTTGCTCGTTTCTACAAACGTTGCAATGTGAGCTGCAGTTAATTTTCACGAAAGAGACCACCGATTACATGGAATCTCTGTATGTGATATCTGAGGTTTGTAGATGAGGGAACAAGCAAAGAGATACACCCTGGGAAGAAACACTGTGTAGAGGTCAGAAGGGGACCCCACCCCTGCACAGTCACGTTTCTTTCTCGTTTGGTTTATTTTGTACCGTATGACAGCCTACTGTAGGTGGGGTAGAAAAATGTTGTCAAAAGTTTGCATGCACAGATTGGAAGAGTTCACTTAGAATCTTAAAGATTTTATCGATTCTTTTTTTTAAAGCTGATTAGCCAGCACATGCACTTTATTAACTTGATCCACGCAGAGTGGGGCGGGTCTCCTAGTGGTATACACTTGGAGACCCAACCCACTCCATGTGGGGGAAGAGTCTCCTGCGTTCACATACCCCTGCCCAGCTTACATATGCAGAGTGGCACAGTACCCTAGAGGTGGGTCGGTGACAGGAGTGTATTACACACTAGGAGAAAAAACATAGGGTGTGTGTGTTGCAAGAGCGGGCACTCACCAGTAGAAACTCCCAAGTCTAACTATCCACCGCCCGGTCCAGAACAGCGCTGGACGTTGTCTGGGCCACCAAGCGCAGGGTCGCTTTGCCATGGGCTATTTTGCTCTGCAGGTCATCTTTCAGGTAGCACTCAGTGAAGATGGAGGGAGATTTCCAGCAAGCTGCCTGACAGATTTTGGCTGGGGGAACTCTTCTAAAATACAACCAGAACGCACAGATGACTTGAACGTCGTGGGCACTGATGTGAGTCCGGGTCTTCTCATTATGCTGTGCTGGCCAGTCTCGGTAGATGAATGTCCATCGGGCAATAGTGACCTTTGACCCAGGGTGGACAGGTTTCGTCGCGGTGATGAAAAGCTGGGAATCAGAGTCACAACAATGCTAATACCACTTGAGTGTCCCGATCTGATACCATCTCATCAACGTTGTCTCCCGAACGTAAGGGTTATATTGGGGGCGAATATTTCGGAAGGCTGGAAGGTAGACGCCTGGTTTTAGTCAGGAACCCGATGGTTGGGATCCTGTGTGGCTCCAAGTGAATATGACCCTCGGCAATTGACTGGGCATGTAGCTCACTGCCTCTTCTCAATGTAACGACCGCGGAGAGGAATGCCAACTTGATGCTGAGATGCCGGTCAGATGCATCAGCCAGTGGTTCGAAGGGGGGACAGGCAAGTTGTTTGAAGTGAGGACGCTCAGCAAACATTCCTCGAAGGAGATGATGGATAGCAGCATTGTCGGGGAGACAGTCGAGCCATCACTGAATCCCGAGTGGACAGCTGCCAAGGCCGACCGGTAGTTGCGGATGGTGGCAACCTGGAGGCTAAAGTGGAACAGATACATGAAGAAGTCTGCAAAGGAACTCACAGGAGCTTCTGTTGGAAAAACATCATGGACGTCGCACCATCTAGTAAAATGTAGTCGGCTGTTGTGA